CCAAAGCTCAACAAAAAAACTTTGAACCAAAACACTAGTTAGGACAGATAGATTTTAAAATCTATGCACCTCACAAGTTATGTCTTATCATTGAAGTTGAGAAACCTTCAACTCGTAGAGCTAAGAGATCTTTCTACATTTGTCTTTACTCCTCCCACTTTCAATATGTTTCTTTCATTTTGATTAAGGACAAAATTGTCTCTTCGCTCACAACTAAACTCACAAGAAGGGCCCTCAGGGCATGTAGTGCATTTTCAAATTTTATTGGGCCTAATATGCAATTTTTTTATGTTTTGAGGGCCCTAAGTGAGAATCTCCCTATTTTTTTTATCATATGCATTTGCCACTTTTTCTATTTTATAACATAATTTTCAATTTATTTTTAAAATATACAGGATAGTAAGTTATAAAAAATAAGCTTATATGAGATAAATATTCATTTATTTTTAAAAAAAATTGCACATTAAAAAATCACGTGTGACTAATAGTAAAAAAGATAGGTAAAAAACCTATCATGAGTTGTCTATATTATATTATATATATATATATATAAAAGATAATATCACAATAATTTTTTAATTTTACTCCTAATAATCACAATTAACATTAGTGGGTATAACTCACAATTAATGCCCCTTTTCCCTTCTTAAGACAATAATAGCAAAATTATTTATTTACCCAAAATTATTATGGCGCCTCTTGTATTTAGGGATAAAATAATTTTTTTAAAAAATATTCTATAAATAAATATGGAGGAAATATTTAAAATTAGTTTATATATAGGATAGGAGGAAGTACTATAATATTAGCTATGTTATTTGCATAATTTTAAAATCATTATTTAATATATGCATATTTTTTTATTTATTTTTAATTTTGGTTATAATTGTAATTTATAAATACTATCATAACATAAATTATACTCCCTCCGTTCAAAAACATAAAGCATTTTTTGAGGAGTTGAATGTTAAAAAATATAAGGCATTTTTAGTCTTTCAAGGTGTAATTATTACCTTTTTTTCAAAAGTGCTCTTATTGATAATGAATTTATATTTATTGTAGGGTGTTTAATAGAGGTAAATATAAAAAGATAGGGTTAGTTTAAAAGTAGATAACTACTTTATTAGGGGTGAGATTCAGTTAAAAATACTTTACATTTTTAAACAGAGAGAGTTGTATAAAATTAGTGATGCATAGGCCAATAAATTCAAAAAGGAAACAAGTTGATTATATTTTAATTTACAAGAAGTGAGATTTTTAAAAATACTATTTATATTTTTAAATGTACATAATGCTTTAATGTATATTAAAAAGTTACCCTTAATTATTATAAGAGTAATGTATGTCAAATCCTAATTTTTAAATCTCTCCTTATGCAATTGGGAGTAATATGGTTCAGGCGAAATGGAAATTGAAGCCCATAAATTAAAACTTACAAATTATTTGCCGGGTTATTGCTTATTTGGTAAGCTTAGAATTTTTGTTAAACTTTGAAAATTCATAACTAAATCTAAAAAATTCATATGAGGATGCTCTAAAATTCTCTTGAAAGATATTAAAGTCATTGAAGTGTAAAAATACATTTTAAACCTTTTTGGTTTCAAATGGCACAGTTTATTCATTTTTCCAAATCTACTCTGTTTTTTTGACAAAATCTATGTCATAATTTGAAAAATTTGTAACTCAAGTTGTACATGTCCAAATGATTTGGTTTAGGACTTTTTAGAAATCTCTATATGTCTAGTTTTATCAGAAAAATTTTAAATTGGATATGGGTTACTACACATTAAATAATAAAACAATAACCCTCCTCTAAAAAGAGCCTAAGCTGCACAAGCCTAATCATGCATATTAAAATCATGATTTCAAGGCTAGTTTAGAACTCTAAATTGGCCACCATACATCAACACATATTATTTATACATACCAAAGCCTCATCATAAATTTACATAGCTTATGGGCTTATTTATACATTTCTCATTTCTATCAAAGTAATACCATAGGAAAAATTATTTTTCCTAATCTACTTACCTTTACTTCTTGCTCTAGCTCTTCCTTTGGAGACTTATAACCTAACATGGTTAGTGGTTAGTGGGGTGAGATTTGAGAGAATTTCAGTAGTAAACAATACCATTTAAGCATATAAAGCAAAAGTTTCATACATAAAATATACTTGTATTACATGACTTCATAACTAACTTATTAACATGTTACATGCTCATACCATGGAACACTTAAAAATAGAGTTTCAAATGTTCATTCATGATTCATAAAATAAAAAAAAAACTAATCATACATATCATCATACAAGCATAAATACCAAGCATGCAATAAAAGGTAAGTTTACTACCTTTTGGTTTTACTATTTTTTTTTGTTTTCCTTGGTTCCATTTGATCCCCCATGACCAAACCTTCAATTCCTTTTCCATGACACTCATTAACCTTAAATATTTGCCACAGAATATTTATTACAATTGTTAGAGCCAATAATCACATTACCAATAAATGATAACTTACTCTTTTTTTAATTCTTACTTTCATTATCTTAATTTTTCACTTTATTTTTCCTTTAACATAAATTCTTGCATCAACATTTTCCCACTCAATTTTTCATAAAGAACTAATTCTTGAACTCAAATTTGACCAATTCTAACTCCTTCCATTTGAACCATCCTTAACAGTAACTGTATGTCTTTGAGACCCTAAATTATGGTTTCTTCTAAGCTATTTTCATGCTTCATATGTATGTGTCTCAAGGCTAGGTTCTAAATTATATTTCATAAACTTAAATACTTAACTAATCACTGCTTAATTTTTTGAAAAATTGGACAACATTTCTCCTTAAAAATTAGCCATCCAAAAATTACATAAAACTTAAAATCAAGCTACCATTCATTAATAATCAATAAGTAACATCTCTATGACCATTCCTAAGTCCTTTTCTATCATTTAGTCATCAAAATATCAAGCCTTATTATCTTTAAAAAAACAGGACAGTATCTTATCATCATGAAAACTCAAGAAAAAAAATATGAAAAATAGCTAAAAAAAAGCTTTTCCATACCTCTTCTCAATGCACTAATTTATTCTTGTTTTCTTCACTATTTCCTCCATCTATGTCACTCCAAACTCATCCTCTTGAAAAACTAAAACCATAGAAATGTTCCTCTTGATGAGAGAAACAACTTTTATGAAGATACTTTGAGGTAGCAATGTAATTTTAATGATTATTTTGGTTGATTTTCTTTTTCTTTTTTTAAACCTCTCATGTGAATCCATGGAAGAAACTTGCAATTTCTCTCTCTGTTCTCTCCTTCGTCGGACCAAAATGATGCAATGAGGGAGAAGAAATGGGTGTGGTGGGTGTTTTAGTAGAAGAATGAACCAATTTTGATAATATTTAGATTCTAAAATATCTAATTTCCCATTTTATTTCAACTAATATTTTAATCAATTTTGAACCATGTAATTGCCTTCCTTCTTCTTCCATTTCAGATCCTACTTGACGTCACCACTCCATTTAAATGGGCTCAATATGGGCTCTTGCTAAAATTAACTTTTAGACATACCAAAAATTAATATTATCTTAACCTAATGCAATTTAAATTGTAAAGTAATTTTTTTGAGTAATTCCTAACCAATAAAATTGCATAATTTATCCAAATATTTATTTTTATTTAATTTTGTAACTTTATTGATTATTTTTCAAAATTAATCTTAGATATTTATGTTGCCCTCTTGGACCTTATTTATTTCTTTTTAGCTTATCTTGGATATTTTTAAACTTCAACTTGCTCATTTCTTAGTTCTGAATACTTTCTTAAAGTCTATGAAAATATTATGCTTCTACCTAAAAAAGGCTTTAAATGTACTATTTGGTCTTTAAAAATTATTCTTTCTTTTCAAGTCACCTTAAGAACTTTTGATTACTCGAACTCAATAACTTATTGAATTTTAACATATTCTTGAGCTTTTAAGCCAAAAATTCAGGATGTTACAATGTATTGCAAAATAGAAATTATTACTTAGATTTTAATTTACATGAGATAATTAATAATAAATTCAAGGATATTTTTTGGGGACATTTTTTTTATTATGGGGGGACTTCATAAGAAGTATATTTTTTTCACTTGATTTCAAAACTTTCCACATATTAATCAAAGGAAAAATATAAATATATCCTAGAAATAACACACTTCAAAATAAAATGAGTAATTATTTTTATCTTTAATATATATGGTCAAAATAATTTTTATTGTAGAATAAACTATTATTTAAATTTTAATTTATGTAAATTAATGAAATATGTGATTTTGAGTACATGAAAATAAATTATTTTTATTTTAGATTAATGAACATTGTAGACTCTAAAATATTATGGAAAAAATACTCTGGATCTTGAACTTCTAAAATGTGCGAAATGAATCTTACATTTTTAAATTCAGAGCAAATTATCGCATCATTAACTTATAGATAACGTTGTTCACTGTTGACTTTTTAGGGTTCAATCAAATGCTAATGCGGCAGGCCTTTGCTAACATGTCATAGGTTAATGAGTACTACATACTTTAAACTATTATGTAAATAGCATTTTGAATCCTGAACTTTGAAATTTAAAACAAATTACCCCCATTATTTATGTGTAAAATATTGACTGTTATATATATTAAATTAATTTCAATATGGTTAGCCATAGCAAACGCATCGTTGGCTATGATGAATGATCGAGAACTTTGTAAAATGATATTTTTAGCTTTTTTTTTTGCAGTGCTTTTAAAACGATTGATATATTATATTTTTATATGTTCTATAACTTTAATTTGATTTTATTTTAAATAATATTTATTTATTTAATAATAAAAATTTATAATTTTATTTAGAAAGAAGTTTAAATATAGATTATTTGACACGGGATGATTTTTATCAAGAGATTTTAAACCCAAATGACCTGATTAATTAAAATCCTCTGAAATTGTTTGCACGTGTTGATTTTAGTAAATATCAGCTCAAATTGTTTGCTCGGAGCTTATTGCATTCTGCTTGAAAATTCAGGGCACGAAGATCGTTCTTTGGGGTATTGATGTTGCTCCTAAAATCAAATTGTTTGCTTAGCGCTTATTGCATTCTGCTCTTGTACGAATGACGCCCTTTTCATACTTGCAGCGATGTGTCGTCCATCTTTTGCCTTGCCGTCGTTGCTACGCTGCTGAACACTCCCCGCACGGCGTCATTCCACTTTCACACGCAAATGCGGTGGAACACTTCACAGTCCATACTCTTGAGTGGCCTCCGTGCGTTGCGGCGGCAACCTCCGCGAACAAAATGGGGAAGGGTCGATATTTGGTGGTTTCAGCTTTGCAGTTTGCCTGCCCTGACGACGTCTAAGCCAATGTTGGCACCGCCGAAAGGTGTTCATTACCTCCCTTTTGTGTTTTCCTTTATTATTATATTTTCGCATCGAAATTTGTTAAGAGTTATGCGCCTATGTTTAAAAGTCACTTGATATTGATCATCCTTCCTTACTGCTCTGATTCACACGCTAGAAGCTGAACTTGATGACAAATGTTCGGAAAATATTGAGCTCCCCGAGATTAAAGATTTCATCTCTAGCTTTTCCGTGATTTGAACACTGCTCAATTCTTGCAAACTGTGTAACCCTTTGAATATTTATTGCCCACTGCTTGATGCTATAGTTAAATCGTGGTTCTTCTCTATGGAACAGCGAATGGCAACTTTCTGAAAGGCGAAGTTGTTGAGAGAATTTGATAATTATTCACATATTTGGAGTTTTGGACAATCCTTAAGCATATACTTAGGCTACTGCATCGAGCAAATTCATTGTCTGAACTCAGTTTAAGTCATTGGTTATTTCATTTCAATCTTCTTGGTTTTGTGACATTTGCATCAAGCAAATTATTTGTCTGAACCCAGTGTAACTAAGTGGCTTTCTTTGTGATACTTGAGTCTTCTAAATGGAAAACAATTACTAAAAGGATTCCAGAGAGAGGATTTCAGTCACATAAGTAAATACTTTGGAAGGTTCATGGTTTCCTTTAGGACTATGTCAGTGATGTGATGACTGATGATAGTTTATTTTGAAGCGAATGCTTCTCCAGAGTCATTATCAATCACCACTAAGCTTTGAAGCCTCATTATTTGAGAATTTCTAGATTTATAAGTTTTCCTGACTTCTGATTGACAGTCTCATACAGTTCCTCAACAATGGCTGAAGTATCACATGGACATTCCCCTGGGAATGATTATCTGTCATTCATTAAAGCCTCATTAGATGAGCTTGAAGGTATTGGACTAGCTAATTTAGCACTTAATCAACAAATATTCGTTTCTTCTACCTTTTTGTGATTCTTAGCTCTGTGTATACAATGTTTTTAAGCTTAACTTTTGCTTTAAAATGCACTTTTTACCCATTTTAATTTTTGATCTTGCGCATATCAAGACGCTAGGAGAATCATGGGCATTTCCGCTAGTGATATTTACTCGCAAAATTGTTATTTGTCCTTTTCACCAATGTTCTGCTCAATTCTTGAATTTTAATTTTTTTTGTAATTTACTGCATGGCTTTGTGCAATATTGATGTAAGTTCTTTCCATTATAACTCAAAATTGCAAGTTTGTAAACCTCTGGTGAAATTTTAATGGTCGAATTATTTTTTCTTCTTAACTACTCCCTTTCAATTGCCTCTTTATTTGAACCTTTAGGCACATCACTGTTCATTGAATGGATCTGGACAGAAATAAACAAGTTCTGTTGCTTTTTGGAGAATCACATGGGCATAGATCGTTGTTGCTTTTTGGGGAATCATGGGAAGTATATTGGGGATATTTATGTGCAAAATCATTATAATTTTAACTTGAATGAGCTAATGTTTTTTTTTTTCTTTTAATTTATTGCATGACATTGTGGAAGATTTACATAGATGCTATTATAATCCAAAATTCTTGCTCTGTGCAAAAGATTCCAATGGCTGAATGATTTTTTTTACTCTTTACTCCTCCCTTTAACTACTTCTTTGTTTAAACCTGTAGGTCCATCTCATCATTGGTTGAATAGATTCGACAAAGATAAACAACTTTCCATGGGAGACAGAACATTCTTGGTTCTTGCTGCAAGAACTTTTGACCATGAAATGTTGTTTGAAAATATGAAGAAAATTAAGAAGAGGTAGAGGAAGGCTGTGTATCAATTTCCCTTCTTCTAGTCTTGTAACAAGTAGTTTTCTTTTCACCTTATGAGTATAAATTACATTTGATGACAGGTTCTCTCATCTCTTTGTCATGGGCTTATTCTTCATTCATTCCTCAGCAGATACAATGCACATAATCTGGTTATTGATGTCTGAAAACATCACATTCCCCATATTATTGTCAAAGAAGACATTTCCTGAGGTAGTGTGAAATCCTTGGTCCAATTCTTAAATGTTATCATTCCTTGTCCTAGGTGCAATTCTTATTAGCGTCAACCCTTGTTGCATGCAAAGATTAAGTTACTTGCCAAGGTGGAGAATGTGAGAGGCCCAGGAGCCAAGTGTTAAATCAGTCTAAAAGCTTTACTGCGTGAGGGGGAAGAAAAGGATAGAACAAGGGACAAAGCAGCATCTAACTCTGATCCTAGTAGAGGTTGTGGGTTAGTAGGAAGAGAGAGTGTGATGGCAAGGGGTTTGTTAAGAACATAAACAGTGAAGGGGAGGTGTGAAGAATCATTTGGGAGTAATTTCCTCGGAAGAGACTGTAACCTCTGTAAAGCGAGAGAATTATACATCTTTACCTTCTATTAGTTTTATCTTTAAATGCAGTACACAACGTGTATGATAGTATAATCTCAAAGTGTTTAGTTTTTATACACCTACTACCTGTGAAGCATTGTCTGAGTTTTCATGCTCTGCTATGGAGCTGATATGTGGTGTTATGTTATTTAACTTTCATCAAAATAGTTGTTCAATAACATGCTAGTGACCATTGGAAATAGTTGTCTCCATCTAGTTCATGTCCAATGATTAGGGTTGATAGCTCACTGGTTCCAGGTAGAGGAGGCATTTTGCTGCCACCATTAAGGGACTCAGTTTCACCAGTTAAAGTTTAATTATTCATGGCTGTAAACTGACTGAAACTGATTGTTGTGGGGATTCTGATATCGTGAAGGTTAGCTGAGCAATTGATTACTCGCCTTAAAATTTGATTAACATCTGAGTGTTCTATATGTAGGAAGCAGAATTGCTCGAGTCTAGGGTTTCTAAAATACTCAAAATCCAATATTAACACCCTATCTTTAGAATCTATTGTATCTAATCTAATCAGAATAATATTTCAAACAACGAGATAATGAAGAATTTATCAAATAGAAATGTGAAAACTTTTTCACTTAGGTAGTGCCAATGACATTCTTAGTGTCATTTAACAGCAGTTCTGTCTGCTTCTGTGCAATTTTCTGTATGATATGTAATACAATTTTATGACCATAGCTAATCTTGTTGAACTAATTCTATAGGCAAACTGCATTGTACAAGATCTTGAGTAAGTCAACTTAGTTGTAAAACTTGCATAGATAGTGTTTGAAGTGTCATGAGTATTTGGCAGGAGAGAAATTCTTGGACTTTTATGGTTGATCCTTTGTCTTTGGAGATCTGTGGGGAAGAATAGCATTCATGTCTTCATTGTGCTGTTCTGCTTGCAGTCTTTTTTTCCTTCAAGGACGTTGTTATCTCAGATTCACCAAAAGATAGGGGTGCTTTGCAGCAATTTTGCTTAAATAGTTCTTCATTCTCTTTATTTTGGAGGTTCCTTTTGGAGATCTCTTAGTCTTTTCTAGTCTTTTCTATTTTTAATCTCTTGTTTAATGAAATTTCTTTTTCTAGGAACACTTCGTTGCAAAATTTCATCGTAGTGTTTTTTTTTTTTTATGCAATTGCTGTGGCCATTGCTACTTATGCTAACCATAGAAGCAAGGCCAGCTGTAGTACCTATGATGATACTGCATATAGTTCTGAGTCAACTGTATCATATATCTCATATGGCATTAATTGCTTTATTTATTTGATTTTTCATTATGAACTGATACACGTGTAATATTATCGTTTAGAGGAATTTAATTTAATTTTATATTTATAGATGGAGCAAGGTGCGTGCTTCTTGTTATTTAAAAATTTTGAGAGCCCAGTAGTTTATCATGAGAAAGACGTGGATCTTGAAATGCTCTACCAAGGTGATGATGCATTTCTTCATGCATAATGTTATGTACAATATGTTGAGACACTTCTATATATATATTTTTTATGTTTATACACACGCATGGTCAATATCAACATGCTTGCATGATTTAATTCTCGATGGTGGGGGTATTATGAACAGCTATTGAGAATTTACACATGCTGCCTACTGGGAATTCTAAGTCAGTCAAGCAATTGAGATTCACTTCTTGGAAGCAAGATGGAATCAAGAAGGAGCATTATATGTGTTCTTCTCTTCTGAATTTACTTCTCTGTTATCCAGGTATTATAAACATTAATCCCTTGATTCAATTATTCCTGTATTGCTTGACTACAGAACTTATCTTCCAGATTTGTAAAATGTGATGATCTGGGAGAATCTTCTCTTTTGGTAATTTGTTTAACTTCAAAATCATGCCATTTTCTGGTTAGACTTCCTGGTGTAGTAATTCTCATTTTCTGCATGATTTTTAGAATTGGGAGTCAGAGGAATGAGTTACCTTTTGCGGCTTGTTTAAAATTAGACAAAGTATAATAGGACAGCACTAAATCAGAACAGAAAATAATATCAACAAATACATGAACTCAAAAGGGCTGCATAATCCCTTTGTAAATCTTTCAAAGAAACCTCAACCTGAATGAACTTTGACCCACAAGAAAGCCAACTTCTCAATTTTGTAGATGTAGTGCCTGCTTGTGCATCCATTCAAAGCCTTTCAAACGGATGTTTTCCTAAAGCAACTATATTTGCATTTTTTTGCTTCTCTCAAAATGCCGCATGGGAATGTCTGCCAGCCATAGGAAATAGCCAAGCAGGCTAGCAGTGACTGGGATTTCTTTTAAAATGTTAAATGCATTGCATCACCATGAGAACTGAATGCTGGAAAAATGTTCACAAATTCGTAATCACAAAGCCTTGTGTTCCTTGTTTTCCTCAAAACCTTGATGGTTAGCCTAGAGCAAGATTTTGTGGCAGCAAGGAAGATTCATTGTTCTCTGAAATTCTCGTAGACCTTGTTTATTTTGGAGCTACCACACCATATCACAGATTTAGAAACAATTGGCCTCTAGTTCCTGAACTTCAGAACTGTGTCACTCAAGTGTCATGAGATGAAGACCTACCTTGCCTACAACAAACAACAACAACAACAACAAGCATATCCCATTAGATGAGATCAATTACATGCATTGCACGATGCCATTGTACTTTATCATTTACTAAGCTTTTAGGAATGTTATTAACTAAGAGGTCTTCATCAATATTTCATAAGTGTTTTCTTTGGCTTTCCTCTACCCTTCTTTATGGGGCTCAAAATTAGCCGTTCTACTCTCCTCACCGATGCCTCCCTCAATCTTCTTTGTACATGTCCAAACCATTTCATACAATTTTATACCATTTTTCTCTCAATAGATGCTACACCTGCTTTTTCTCAAATATGTTCATTTTGAATTTTATCTTTATGTGTATGCTTGCACATCAATCTCAATATTCTTATATATGCTACTCTAATTTTATGTTCCTATTGTCTCTTAAAAGTCCAACATTCACTATCATATAACATAGTTGGTCTTATAATAGTTTGACAAAACTTCCCTTTAAATTTATTAGATATTTTTTGATCACAAATAACTTTCAGCATTTCTCTAGTTAAGCTACTTAGCTTGTGTCCTATGTGTAACATCTCTATTAATTTTTCTATCGTGTTGAATAATAGCTCATAGATATCTAAACTTTTTTACTTGAAACATAATATGATCTCTCAATGTTACTTCTAAATTATTAGTGACTGAAAATTACAATGTAGATATTTCATTTTGCTCCAATAGTCCTATTTGGGCGAAAACTTTTCGGCTCTAATATCCTTCTACATAACTTAAGTTTGCAGTTAATCTCTTCTCTCGTCTTCGTAATAAAAACTATATCATCCGCAAAAAGCATATATTTGGGGATATCTTCTTGAATATGTTTTGTCAAAATATTTAAGATCAGGTCAAATAAATAATGACTCAAAGATAATCCTTGATGTAATCTAATCTTTATAGGAAAATCCTTTATTTCACTATTAGACGTTCTTATACTAGTTGCCCCCTCATACATATCTTGTATAGCTCTAATATAAGCAACCTGGACACCTTTCTTTTCCAAGGCTTTCCAAAGTACTTTTTTAGGTACACAATTGTAAGTTTTTTCCAAATCAATGAAAACCATATGTAAACTTTATCTTTGCATCAATGCTTTTCCATCAATCTCCTTAGCAGATAAATTGTTTCTGTAGTTGCCCTGCTTGGCATGAAGCCAAATTGATTCTCAGAAATACTAATCTCCAATTTTAACCTATACTTAATCACTACAACAACAACAACAACAAGCCTTATCCCACTAGATAGGTTGGTTATATGGATTATATGATGTCATTGTGCTCTATTATTTATTAAGTTTTTAGAAATATTGTTAATTAAAAGGTCTCGTTCAACAACCTCCAAAAGTGTTCTCTTTGGTCTTCCTCTACCTTTCTTAATAGGGCTAAAAGTTATCTGTTCCACTCTCCTCACAGGTGCCTCTCATGATCTTCTTTGTATATGTCTGAACCACCTCAAATGATTTTCTACCATTTTTTCTTCAATAGTGACAATATTGTCACAATTGAAGGAAAAATATTGTCATGTGACCTCAAACGACAAGCCTATACTTAATCACAACAAGCCTATACGTAATCATTGTTTTCCACAATTTCTATTGTGACAATATTGTCATATCCTTTCTCCATGGGAGGTTGGATTGTAATATTCAACTCTTTTAATTACTGAAATATTGGGATGGAATGTCATCACTTGCCATTATCATATCATCAACATGAGACTATGAGGATGGAAATCTTACCACTTATGTGCTTTAAAAGTCTTGCCAGTTAGGCAAAGTTGCCAATTGTTTTGCTACTTTTGCAAATCTCTTGATCCATACTTTGGGTGCTTGTTTTAGCCTATGCAAATATTTGTAGGGTCTATGCAATTTGGTGGGTTTGCCATGTTCTTGAAAACCTTGTGAAATCTCCATATATACCTCTTCCTCTAAATCTCCGCTGGGGAATGCATTTTTTATATCCAATTGAAGTGGCCAGTCTAAAATTTGCAGCAAGCTAGAGAATTAACTTTAGTGTATGAGCTTGGTTATGGGGGAAAATGCCTTGCAATAGTCATTTCCTTAGGTTTAGATGGATCTTTTGTCCACCAATCAGGCTTATTATTTGCATATATTTCCATTCAAATTTTACTTAATAGTAAACACTCATTAAGGCTTAATTGTGATCTTCCCTCTAGGTAGTTCTGTGCTTTTGTTATCTTCCATGTTTGATTCTTCTCCAGGGCCCTTAACTTCTCATTAATAGCCTCCTTCCATCTAGGATATGAAACAGCCTATTGGAAGTTTTGTGACTTCTCATTAGCAATAGTTGCTACAATACCTTTCAAATGGGGCAATTTTTCATAAGAAAACTTGCTTATAGTGTCATGTGTGATATCTTGCCCCTTTCCTTGGTGTAATAGGGAAACTAGGTTCCTTAGAATTGGGAGTAGGAGCATAATCTTGATTTTGCCCGGAAATATTGAGGTTCTCTCTTTAAGCTTCTCACTGTCGAGTGTGCCCTCTTGTTCTTCTTGAATAAGTGAGAAGTTCCTGTTCCTTAGGTTGATTTTCCACCCCAGTTCAGTGTGATCTTCAATTTGTCTCAGGTAGATAGGGATATGCTTAGTTTTAAGGCTGCTTGGTCTTGCATTTCCAAGGTTTCTCTTTCAGCTTTTTGCTGCTGAGTGTGCCCTCTTGGTGTTCTTGAATGGGTGAGAAGTTCCTTGTCCCTAGGTTAATTTTGCTACCTCTGTTTCAGTGTGGTCTTCAATTTGTCGATGGTAGGTAGGGATATATTTAGTTTCAGGGATGGTGGAATTTTTGGTTTGGAACTGGTATTAGTGGGTTGGGAAGCGATAAATGGTGATGTTATCTGGGCCCAAAAGGTCCCATTCCATATCCCTCTCCACCTAAATGTGAGTTTTGGATAATATAGTGGATCCTCTACAAATGTTGCATTCATAGGAACAAAGTTTTCTTCATAGTTGGTGAATAGTAATGACAACTTTTGAGTAAGGGTTTGCACTACAAGATACATTTGAAGGCTCTCTGTTCAAGTTTTTCTCCATTGTTGTGAATATAAGTGACATGGCTAAACACCTTTTATGGCATGGATGTGATGAGAGATCTGTTAGCTTATTTCCTGGCGAGTTTTTGTAATGTTATCTGTATCATCTAAAAGGTGAAGTGATAGGGACGCGGAAGCAGAATCGTGCTAGTTTAGGGACAGAACCCTGAAACAACAAAAACACAAGAACAAAAAGAAAGGGACGAAATTTATGACGGAAATAAAGAAAGGTATGAAGTAAACAATAGGATAATGATCAAGGAGAAGATCCTCTAGAGCACCTGCCTCTAGGAACCTCAACCTTCGAAGACACCACAAGAGTTGATCACGCTCTTGATCACGTCGGTTTCTCACACGGGATACCACCACAAAGCACTAAGGCTCACAAGAGTTATAAACTCTAAAATGAATAATTTCATTCAACTTCTGTGTTGTTTACAATAGGGAGCATGCCTAATTTATATAGGCTCATAGAAAAATATTTCCTAAAATTAAAACCCTAATTTCCTAATACTAAAAGGAGAAATAATGATAAAATATTCAGCCACATAATTTAGGAGATGTGATCCTAAAATTATGGGATTACAAAATTTAGAAATTAATATTATAATTAATTCTAACCTTTGACTAGACTCAAAATAGAAAATCAAATCAAAGGACCATTAAAATAGGAAATAATTTAGGAGACAATCAAGGGATCATAAAGGATTTGAAATCACGCCACCCTTGACTTCTTTACTAGGGTTTCATGCCTCCTTGCATGCAAGAGGCTCAACTTGTAGTCTTCCTTGCATTGGGCTAAGGTCTGCATCTCTTGGGCTTGACTCTTCATGAGTTTGGATCTTAAATACATTATACACGTATAGATGCTCTCCTTTGGACTTGAGGGGAGTGCCCCAATGCTCTCCAAGCTCTTGAACTTCTTGCACAAGACTGAACAAGGCTTGCTTCATGGCTTTGGTTCGGGCTCTTGTCATTGGACCTCCAATATGTTGCAATGGGTCTTTAGGTACGTTGGATTGGAAGTATTGGGCTCCTTCTATGTCACCATGCTCATGATTACCATCCTCAGCTTCGTTGCCATTAATGCTAT